CAATGACAGTCTAGTCGCCATTCACTGGATAAGGAAAAAAAACTAGGGGTCGAACCTAACACTGGAGCTGGCTACGTACGTCCTCGACGTTGTCGGAAACAGAGTTGACAGTCTGCAGTTCGAACCTACTAATTGGATTAGCAGCTGGCAACATAAAGAAGGACAGAGGACTTTTCCAGCGACAATTTCGGGGACTAATACGAAAACGTCTCTGGACTATCAGGCACATCGAAATGCGTCATATAGAACGCATACAAAATTAGCAGGGATAAACTCGAATGACTCAGAGTCAGTCAGAAAGGGAAGAAGGCGAGTTCTGTCATCAGCAATAGTCGGAGGGGATGATGAGCACGATATGATATCTCGACCCCAAATATTTGCGCATATTAATAACGCTTAATATATATCAAGCCACTTAAATCAAATAAGTAGACAATGAATGAATCGAGTTCTGCGACGAGGTGTATTTATTACTGAGTCCTGCCCAAGTGTTCACTGCCCGAGCCTTAGAACGTCAGACTTCTGATAAAAATGTCACGGGTTCGAGCTCTGGGTAGTACACCGCTTGTGGTTGGGTTTGCCTGGCTGATAACGGCTGAAATGGCCATTCCAGTCCCCCTTATCGTTGCCGATCGTGTTATCTGCCTAACCTACCAGCCACTGTGCGGCAACTGGCGGAGCTCAAGAGCGAGCCCCAAGCCCAAGCGGGAAGAGTGAGTTCCGTTAGCGGTCGGTTAACATTCATAAACGACAGCAACTGATTATTAAATTTAAATAGGATTGGCAGATGCAATCATAAGCATACCATTCTGTGTATGGGAATAAAACTTTTCTCCGGTTAAATGTTTACGCTGTTTTCGTTAACAATGGAGTCTGCTGGATTTAAGAGTGGCTTTGAACAACCAGTGCATATTTTATTATCTTCAGGGTTTTCAGTCGCTTGTCCATTAAAATAGGTCTGGCGTGAAATCCTTATCAAAACACGTAGAGCAAGATATTTAGTGGAAGGCACTTAGCGAAGTAGTGAGTGCTTGGGCGCTCTTTTTCACATAGATGGTCATTTGGATTCCATTTGAAGGCTTGTTGCCGAAAAAACGAACGCCCAAAACAAAGGCCAATACCGAATATACTTTCCACCACCTAAAAAACTTTCACTTACAACTTACCGACTTAAAATGGGCTGTATTATGGCGTTCTGCTGAAGAATGTTAACGGTAAAACAGCAGAAAAAAATTGGCACTTTTGGTCCGTTTTTTTTCCGTTTCATGAAAATAATGACCATTTGTCTGCCTCAGACGTATGAAATTATTTTTATTTTTATATTGCTGCCATTTTTTCTATCTTTTCTTACCTTTAGGCTCCGTTCCACGACCATAAATGTACAAATATGACCACATAAATACTGCGCGTTTCATTCGTAACTTATGTATCAGCAGAAACCACACCGCTCAAAAAGTGTCTTTCTATATCTTCCAAACTTTAAAGGGCCATTAGGTGGTGGCTGGTTGGGCGCTTTCTTAAAATGCCTTCACAAATGCCGGCATAATATCAGGAGGTTTGAACGAGGGATTGCCTGCATTCGGTATTATCGCACCTAAGGGCATGACATCCAACAGATTTGTAAATCTGACATTATAAATTCATGACATGCCTGGTTTTCTAAAAAAATGGCCTGTCTCCTCGCAACCTTGGTCTCACGATCTACATCAGAACAAAAATTAATTTTCGACTGCGGTAAGTCTTGCTCTCCTCCAAAAAAGGAACAAACTCATGTGTACAAAACAAGCCTAGAATGGCTATTAACGGAGGACATTGTCCTAATATAGGGTGACGTAGATTTCTGCGTGCCATTATAAACGCTGCGACTAATAAAGCAATTTAAAAAAAATATATTATGCCTGCAAAGCGGACATTTTTCCCAAAAGGGCTAGACAATTAACTAAAATTCGCAATGTTTGGGTGCCTAAAATGAATAACCTCAGTTTGTGTCATCACGTTTCATGAATTAGGTCGCGTAATGTTTATGTATTCCGATAGTGAGCTTGTGCTGTTCGGTCTAAACACTCATAATAAAGCATTTATTTCACATTAAGAGAGCTAAGCAGAGTGTGCACACATTATTGTCTTTAGAGCTTGCCCGAGGGAGCTTCCTGGAAGAATTCCGCTGGGACGGTGGCTCTAAAAGTCCGACATCCCCGTGGAAAGAACATATACCTACCGACACCGTGGTATGTTTAGTATATGAATAACCATTGTGCCTGGCATTTTTTGCGCATTGGAGATTTTCATAGTTCCAAAGTCTAGTTTAGTTTTATGTCCTCATCGGCCATCGAACTTTTTTTTTCTCTACAGCTTGTTGCATTTGTCTTAGACTGACCGCTGACAATTAATAAGTTTACCTGTTGAAAAGACGATTAGTCGTTCCATTGTCACCATCATCGGTGAAATCGCGTGGTTGCTGGAGCCACCAGTTAACGTGACTATTTTATGCATTGGTTATGTTTAGAAGGAAGCTTAAGGAAACTTCGAAAGACACCACAGGACTATAAACAAACAGCACGTTTTATTTGTAACAGCGGTTGAATTATCCAATAGGCTCAGGGACCATTGCTTTCTGTCTTACGATTCTGCTGCTGTTTTGTTTCTCCTCCAGTAATAGACGTCCAAAATCCTAACCCGCTTCTTAGGGCCAGATTTAGAATTGCGTTTATCAAAGAAGTCCATGTCTGCTTTCCGTTCCATTGGTAAACTCTTGCAATATTATTAATATTAATTCTGTATGCTTATAAGTGGGATATAATTCATTAAATGTCACACAAGTTGCACGAAAAACCCGATACCATAGACGTTGCCCACTGCATGTTCCCCGAAGACCTGCATCCTTAAAGGAACAGCCATTTTAGAGAAGGCGCACTTTAGTTCATTTTTGATGAGTGGTAGAGGATTACATTTTTATTGGAGGGTTGAATTTCAGGACACAAACCACTTAGTTAAGGCTATATTTGTCAGTACGTGATAAAAGGAGGAGCATCAAACGGAGAGAATGGCGAAAATTCTAACAAATAGAAGGTATTAGTACTTGATTGATTGCCCCTTCACCACATTACACCCGTAAGCCTCTCGGATACAGAAATTATAAATTGTCTTTGGTGGATTGGTCCATAGTTATTAAGCGTGAAGTCAAGCTCCCCCGGAACGTAAGCTTTCCCTATATCGCGCCAGATTTTTTGATAAGTGTTGAAACAGTTAAAGTGGGATTCGGGTCTGAGCTGTCGGAGATGATGTCAGTATGTTCTTCTAAGAAATTCTGGCAAAAGTAGCTTACATAGGTCCACCATTTATCCCTAGTCCCAGCATTTTGTCCTGCAAAAACGGTGGTTATAGAGTTTTGGGGGCTGGGGAAATATGATAGGCAGAGGAGGAAATTTTTAGACGTAGTGTAAAGTGAAAAAGATGCAGTCGAAATTGCATCCGCGGCCGCTGGGAGTAAGTTGTTCCGCATGTAAATTGAAGGTGTGCGCGGTGCTTCGCGCCGCAGACCAAACTAATCTAATTCTAGAATGATAATTTGGACCTCAGGTAAGTTGAAGTAGACGACCTCCTAATCACCATTTCTTTTTTTCAGGAATCTCAAGAAACCTGCATTTGATAATCAGGTTTTTACGCTATTTGTTAATTGATAATACAGATTATGAAAATCTACTGATATAAATCAACAACACTTCTAAATATAGTAAAATAAAAATGCTTTTTGCATTTATTAGAGTATATTCCACCGCGTGTCCTAATTCTCCACACAAAAACCCTCTAACCACCGTTTTCGTAGGAAAACACGCAGGGAGTAGGGATTAATGAGTGGGCCTACATAAGCTACTGTCGCCGACATTTCTTCCCGATGTTGGCCATCTGAGTGGCCTTCGTAGATCTATCTTAAAATTAGGCCTAACTGCAGGCACGAATGCTCTTCCAGAAGGCAGGTTATCGACAAAAACGCCCCTTGACCACTTTCCTACTTCGTTGGGACTTTTTATGTATGAAGACCAAACTCGTCCAGAGTCCCAGTGGGCGACGAAGAAGATCGTTGTTTTGCTTATCACTAATTGTTTTGGTCCTTCTTGCTAATTTAGAGGCATTAATAATTCTTTGCTCTGGGAAATTCTTTGTATCTTCACTGCATCAGGCTGCGGGTACTAATTACACCGTATAAGTCAGAGGGTGATAGCATTGTCAGTCAGCTTTATCATAGCGCATTTAGCCTC